TTTCTTAGAATGGAACAACAACCACCTGTCGGGATCAGGTAGCATGCCATGCAATTTGATCGCAATCCATAACCTGTGTTACAATGAAGGTTATCGACTGTTTATAAAGTTTCTCTCCTTACAGTGTCACGCGATGAAACGTTGTAAAATATATTAATTGGATTAGATTTATTTATTTATATTATCACTTGCTATGGTACCTCTCTAGCTTCATCCACTTTCATGACATTCAAAGTATGCTCGGTCCTTTTAACTTGTACCCTTCTGGATTTGGTCCAGATATGTACGGCAAGGCCTACCCAACCAGACTTCACTGTTTCCTTGTATATTAAGTTATTTTGGATTATTAGATATCAATGTTTTTGTCGAACAGTCAGTAAAATTAGAACTGTCGTTAAACTATCGTCTCATGTATTATGATTTTGTATACAATGTTTGACTTTACAAAGATTATTTAGCTTTTTATAAAACAAATTTCGGTTAGGTAGGTACTATCATTGATTAGCCATCTAAGCTCATTATTTATTCTAATACATATATCAAAAAGTTTGTAAATATTATTACGTTGACATGAATACTTGGATATAAGAACTATTATTAGCCAATTTTCTAATAATTTTAACACCCATGTTGAAGATCCAGTCACAGAGTGGTTTCGAAAGCGGTAAGTAGCACAAAGGTGAACAATGATGAGAAATATGACATTAAAGTAGGTAAGCCAGAAGTTGTAAAAATATAGCTACTCTCATACATCAAACTATCTTTGTAACTACGTGATGATACGTTGGTATTTCAGTATCTAGAATAAACGTGTTTAATCCTAATATTTAATAATTTAAAAACCGTGAATGATAAAATACCGTAAATTTTTAAATTATAAAATTTTATTTACGAGTTCAACACTAATCCAGTAGTAGTAGGTATTACTACTACAAACAAACCTACTTTGACAAATTTTTAAACAATAATTAAATAGGATAATGCTGCCAGAGTTTTTTTAAAGTGTTTATATGATATATTAGAATAAGTATATTTTACGGACTTGTGGAAATAGTAAAATTTTATCTATTTCCATAAACTCAATCTTGTCCTAACAGGTGACCCTAAATTGACAAGAATAACCAAAAATAAAATTCACACACGAAACAAAAACCAAACATTTATTGAATTAAAACACAAGATTAGAACCTAAAGACTAATAGTTCTTATAATACGACTCTACATTTATTTAGAGAATGGAGTTTTAGTTAATTCACCATAACGTATTACTCAACATTATATAATTTACTATTAACAACGCACGTATTAGCCAATATCAATTATGAGTGAAAGGCCGGAAAATTGAAACGCGTAGGCAATCGCGAAAGGCGATCATATTAATGATCTGTGATTGGACAAGATTAGCAACACTTTCAAATAAAACTATTTGTTTTGTATGTGAAATAGGACATTAACGAATTTGGGATAAACGTCGACCACGTTATAGATAAATAACAAATAAGCATGGCTGTCATCGAAAAATATGCGTAATCTATGAAGTTTGACACTAGGCATAATATATTAGCGTACCTTCTGCTAGTGTCTGCCCTCTATTTTGTCTATTATCTGTGGACATGCACAAGGCATGGACTTTACTAAGGACACAATATAAAATACAGTATCAATTAAATTATTTTAATAGTTGTTACAAGTCCAATAATTTAGAGTGATACTTTAATTTAAAAACAATATCTAAAGGCGGAATTACAAAATAATCTTTTATAAATGTATTAGTAGAATAAATACAACGCTGATGCAACAATGTAACGTTAACGTCAGGTAAGGTGTCTAGGCACGAAGTCACGTATAGAACTACAAAAAACGGCAACCATTTTTTGCTCCACTCCGGTTCAGAGCACATATCAAGCTGGAGACTGATACAAATTATGTTTGCGGAAAACCACGTTTTCAGCATCGTGAAATGCAGTGAGGCTTGACCGGGCAATATCCGTAACATGTTGGATCGCATGCCGTTAACATTCAGCTTGGACTGATTAACTCGATTTTTTTCTGCTATTTTATAATCATGAAATAAAGTGTGCCAACGTTAATGATCATTTTGGTAGAGTTAACTCCTTTAATATCATTATTATCTATAGTAAACGTGGACTTTGTTATTATCTATATTATTATGTATACTACAAAAATATATATGATCTACACAACTCTACACATCTACTTAATATTATTTGTTCGACGAAAATGCTTAAGTTATGTTTATGCTCTAATAAAAAAATTACAGATTAGTATTTACATTTACCGATGTGTAAATATATATAGTATTTCTATTTGTCAACTGTCAAAAATTTTATAGACATCAAAACATACGTTTCCCTCAACGTTTTGTTATAAGCCGGCGTTATAATTGTTTCAAATATGTTATAAGAATTATGGTAACCGAATATGCGTTACAAAAAAATATCAATGGGGTTTAAAAAGTTATATTCGGGTAACATCCGGTTAACAGGTAAAATTGACTATGGTTGAATTTCCTGTTTATTTCTATAAAAAAACAATCCTTCCGGTTGATAAACTATCAATTCTTCAATCGTTATTATTCTTTATTCTTTTCTGATTTTTAAGGTTATATGCGACTAGATCCTGTATATTAAAAATCAATAAAACTCAAATATAATCCAAACGCCTACCTAAAGCTTGTTTCTCTATGCAGTATACTTGCACTGTAAAAACTGTCATACAATACTAGATTTTGCTCAATTGACAACTTTTAATAGATTATAGAAAGTGCAGAACGATCAATAGTCAAACCATAGTTAACAAATTAGGTATCGTATAGAGATTTAGCGCGGGTAAAATTCAGGGCGATACTTTAAACCATGACTGTCACATATGTGTTCATTATGACTACGCAATAATATACACAATACCAAATCTTTAAATTTTCAATTAACATGAAATATACAATCACTTTAATAGCTCTTCTGTACCGTCTCGATTTCTGCATATGAGCTGAATTAAAATACAATTCATGACTCGGTCTTGAGCACAAATAAAAGTATTAAACTACTAATAGAATGACCACTATTATGCAAATGCAGTTTCAGAAACCGCATTAACATCTTCCAAATGATTGTATAACAAAGTATGTCCGACAGAGCGTGTTTTCGTAGAATTTCTCAGACATTTCGTCACTTTCACGATCAATTTCTCTCATAACTTTCCACACCCGCTGTTGGGACACCTTTTAAGCATATACCAAAAGATGATTGGACTGTAAATTGGCTTCGTTATATGCAAACCCAAAAATATTTGTGAATGAACAGAATAAGATGAGTTGTTCTTGATATGGAGCCCGGTACTAGATCTGTTATTTTTTTTAAGACTAACAAGGTCATCAGCCTTTTGCATCCACACAAAAAATATTTAGAATTTCACGGTAGCCTATCATACAGCATAGGATAAAACGTGCCAACATTTATATTCTAAACTCCACTTTCATAATATGTATGTTAGAATATTTAACTAGTTTCTAAGCTTTCGTTTCCAGACAATAAAAATTACTTTTATCGTGACTAAAATACTAAGACTTCAACTTTAAATTTAAGGTGATGACGAAAGCAAAGTAGGTCATTAATAGATAATAGAGCAGTATTGGCCTGGTCGTTAAGAGTGTGTCTAGCCACTAATGGATTTTTATTATCTGTGCAATTAAGATTTGCTCGTGTCTGTAGAGATCCAAAAATTGTCGCGTTTGATACGGCACAGAAGTATTAATTAACAAAATATGCAGGAACGTGGCTGCACTTTGCCTCATTGAAGGCTTATGGAAATTCATATTAAAAAATGCCAAATTAAAATGCGGTATATCGTACTTCCTTATAGCTTTTTGTGGTCAGCTGTTACCACCACAATCGAATTTCATAGAAAAGCAATTTGTAGTCTTTATGAAAATGATTCAATGGAATCATTAGTTAATTAACATAAATGACTTTGATTTCGTTAATGATAATGACATAATTGCGTAATATTATACCCCGAAGTGCGTGAAAAAACTCAAGTTAACCCGGCCCAGGTAAAATTCTTTGCTAGCAGGTAAATTTTTAATGATACAAAAAGTGCTTTAAGTTGCAAGTTCCTTTAAGAGAAGTTGATTATGGGTCAGGTGTATGGATTAAAATGAATATTTCATGTAAAGTTATAGAATGTAACGCTTATGTGTTGGACATAACAATCATTTATATTTACTATTAAGTGTTCAACAATATCTCAATCTTGTTCTTTGGGAACAAGTCGGGATTTTAAGTGAAATAAAATAATATTGAACGTACAATGTACATATATGAAAACGATATACTAATAAGCAAATATACTCTTAAGGCGTGATATTTTCTTACGAACAGGTTTGAAAGAAGATATAGCGGATATTTTTAGAACTTTCTCCCAACGGATCGTATTAATTTCTTTTTCATCGGATATTTTAATGATAAATATTTTGTGGCTGTTAAAGTCTCTGTGGTTCAGTAGCGGATATGTTTAAACCCAAAATTCTTGGGTTCGAATCAGCTAGTATGAGAAATGACTAGTCTGCCCCATGCCCCGCAGTGGGGTTACGGGACTTTATTTATATAGTTACATGAATGCACAATATTGTGCTGTTTGTCTGTTTTTAATACGTGCATATTTATGCGTAACGTGACTACTGTAACGGTGAAGATGGCTTTGACTTGAATGTTATTGCATTAAATTATTGATACCGATAAAGTATTGTATTATTACGAAGTTTAAATGTAATGTTTATTAGTTATTGTGGTTTGGTAATTATTTTAAGGAAGGATAAAGTAATGCTTAGTTTTATGCTTCCTAGGAACTTGAGCCTTGAAGCGCAGATTATTTTTTTATAATTCAAAATACCCTCCAATTAGTTTATTGGTTAATATATCATGCAAATGTTTTCATCTACGCCATTAAATGCAATGTATAATACTGTAATACAAATTTACCTGTATATTACTGCGTCTTACTTCCACGTACAACCAGTTATCTGTTGAAAACGCTATTGCCATTAAGGCAGCAGCCACGATAGCTGTAATAGTCGCTATAGACAAAGTTACCGCCGAGCAAGGCATTTCTACAACCTTCAAAAGACTATTTAAGATAAAAAAGAAAAGGAGGTACGCAAACACAATCACAACACAGTAATTCTTGCTTAGTTCACCTAAACAGCATTTTCGTGAACACTTTACGCAACGGGGAACACGACAGCACTCTCACGAAATAATAAAAACTCATATAAATGCGGTCATCGCCTGCAGGCGTACCAAGATCGCGCGCGTTACTTCTTTGCCTACTTCGAAGTGACTTGCCTTGCCGCTCTCTTGCGGATGTGAAACTTTAGAAAATGAATAAGCGCACCCAGCGGATGGAATGCGATTCAAAAACCGGTTATATGATACCAGATGTAAAAGGTACAAAGTGTTGCTGTAGTTTAATTTAAATATAATAATTTCCTAACTAGTTTCCCGACTTTCTTTACTATTTTAATATTTTGTTTCTTGGATGATTTATATATTATTAGAAGTGTTGTAAATCATCTGATGCGATGATATGATCTAAATACTTTGATAATTGACACCACGACCTATCAAATGTCACTGTCAACTGAGAATTTGCGGAATGTATTGTTTGGAATTTTGTTGTTGATATTTTTCGAAACTGTGTTCGAAATACTTGTAAATAATTAAAGATAAATCAAAATCTTAAAATAAAATATGGCTGAAACTCAAGATTTTGAAAAGTATGATCAAATTCTTACATCAATTTTAGAAGGGGAAAAGTCAATTATTGGTTTCCTTTCTGCTATATTTGGCTTTCTAGCCAGACGGTAAGTCCAATAAAGCTAATTTAAAAGAGATGTTTAATTTATTTAGTTAATTGTGTGTTTTACATTTTCAGAACTGATTTCTACTACACCCCAGAAGGTCCATATGAGAATATGGGTTTTCCACCTGGAGTCGCTGAAGAACTTGTTGTCAAAGTTTTGCGTAAATGTGACCCAAAGAACTGGAAACTATCAGAAGGCGAAGAAAATGATTTAAGCAATGAAATAATGTGTTCAACTGTTGCTCAGGAAGTTGAAATTGTTGATGAACAACAAGATAATTTCAGAGCAAACCCTACACAAGAAACACAACAAAAAAGTGTTATTGATGAGGCAGTCCACAAAGCACCGGAAACAAAGAAGGTTCCAATAATACCAAATGATTATAAACCTCCAGTCATTCCAGTGCAAAATAGTGAATCTTATAATGGAGCAGCGAGAGATAAATATACGTGGTCCCAAACAATTATGGATCTAGGTAACTATTATTTTCTATAACTTTAGAATTCCAATTCACAAATATCATTCATTTAAAGTTTTATTTTAGATGTTATCATAAACCTGCCTGCAAATGTAAGGTCAGCAAAAGACTTGAAAGTCACAATAAATCCTGGAGATATTTCTGTTATAACCAGAAACCAAGATATTATTATAAAAGATTCACTTCCTTTTAAAATTAAAACACTAGAATGCCTTTGGAGTATTAGTGAAGGAAGACTTTTAATTCATTTAGGTAAGTAATGTATCTAATAAGACTTATATATGGTTTAATTTTATTATGTGTATATAAATATAACACCACCAGGTATGGTTAGGATTGCGTTGAATTTCAGTATTGAAATTATATTATATTCTTTTTCATTCTATCTTGAATAATTATAGTCGGTATTCAACAATGAATATTACTGTACTCAATATAAACTTTAACCTTTCAGAAAAAGTGCAAGAGCGTTGGTGGGACAGATTATTAAATAATGAGGAACCAATCAATTTAGACAAAATTGATTGCTCAAGAGCTTTAAATGAATTACCAGAAGATCACATTGCAAAGGTAATTGTTGCTAATTAATTTGTGTTTCCATTGTCTGTACAGCTACTGAAATGGAATTAACCTCTCATATTTCATATAAAGGTGCATAACCATATATAACTTTATTAAACTAAAATTAGCATTATCATAGTCTTATGATATTTAATATGCTAAAAGTGTAATCCCAAATTCTGATAATAAAAAATCTTTTTGTGCATAGGATTTATTTTTGTTTTACAGGTAAGAGAATTACAATGGAATCAAGAACAAAAAATGAAAGGACTACCAACCAGTGATGAAATCAGGAATATAGAGCTATTGAAAAAAGCATGGAATAGTCCAGGATCGCCATTTTTAGGCAAGGAATTTGATCCAAATGTTCTTTATAAACCATAAATTAATATACCTGTGTTAGTTTATTGTTTTATTTAAAACCAGATATGACAATTTTTCCTATACTCTTCTTTTCTTCAATCAGTCTGTGGGCCTCCCGTATGTTTACTGCATTAATAGGAGTGATAACCTTTGTCAAAGTTGACTTTAGTTTTCCATTATCTAACATTTTAGAAACCTCCTCTAATATTTCTGTATGTCTGTACTTATCATCTGTATTATAAACAATTCTAGTAAACATCATTTCTGAGACAAGAGTAATGCTTTTAGCTTTTAATTGCTTTAAATCCACCAGGCCGCTACTGTCAACAACTAGACAAATCTTGCCCTGGGGCTTAATAAGCATCATAAGAGTGTCCCAGTAGTTGTAGGGATCATAATTTACCAATATAAAATCAACTTCAGATATTTTATTATTTTGTAACTGCTCAACTAAATTTTCGGTGTGATTTAGTACAATATGTGCACCACTCTCTTTTGAGAACTTCATACTTTCTGGCCTAGATGCTGTACCTATAACTTTAAGGCCAAGCAGTTTAGCTAACTGACAAGCAACGGAACCTACCCCACCTCCACTATTTATAATTAAAATTGACTTCCCCTTATCTTTCTCTGTTATAGATAGTCTGTCAATTAATGATTCATAAGCAGTCACTGATGTTAGTGGCATGGCAGCTGCTTCTTCAAAAGAAAGATTTTTTTTATGCTTCTATTGTGTTTTCAACAACTGCTTCTATTGAGCAGCTTAGGAAGTAGTGATACGTAGCCTTCTTAGTATAAATAATTTAAATTAGATAGTGGAAAAGAGGCAAACTGCAATAATTTAGTACAACTCAGCTCAACACAAACATGTTATATTACTAACAACAACTGTTTAAACTTGATGCATCAAAACATGCAAGGTATGTTGGGCAAAGAATTAGAATTGGAGTTGTTTTTAAAATCAAGTAAAATTGATGTCCTATGCATTACCGAACATTGGCTTAGAGAATGCCAAATCATCTTTAACTTTGATCAGCACCAAGTTGCAAGTTCGTTTTGCAGATTGTCGGCGATAGGGGGCTCTTTGATTATTGTTAATAAAAATTTAAAGTATAAAGAGCGTAATGACATCGTGTGTCTGTGAGAACACTCTTTGGAAGTAGCCTGTATAGAGATTGAGAATCATATTTTAAGTGTTTACAGACCACAAGTGCATCTTAGATTTTTTTGAAGAAAAGTTGGAGGAAATTTTGTGTAAAGTTAGTTTTAAGAACAATAAGTATATTATTGTATGTGGTGACTTCAATATAAATTTATTAGAAAATACCTCATTAGTAAAAAATTCAATCTGTTATTAAAATCTTACAATCTTGTTAACTTTTTCTTGAGCCACTAGAATTACAAGCTCCACTGCTACATGTATAGATAATGTATTTAAGAGAGAGGCTATGCAAACCTCAATTAAACTGAAGTCAGATCATTGTGGACAGTTAGTGGCGCTAAAATGTAAAGTGGTGAAACAAGTAAATAAGAGCAGTGTGTTTGTTCCAGTGAATAAAAAGCGAATGGTGAGATTTAGACATAATATAGGTAAACGTACCTTTATTACCGGTAGGTATACCGTTGATACACAATACAACAATCTAAGTGATTGTATTAATAAAGAGTTAAACCATCTTTACCCCAAAGAAAGTCTTCATTCGCAGTGTAAATCGTTTAGTATTGGGCGACAGGGGAATTTATAAAAGTAGACAACGGTTGTATGACCTTTACGCTGAAAAGTCATACAATCATAATGAAGAATTTATTCTTTATGTTCGAAATTATTCGAAATTATTTAAGAAAGTTTGTTACGCGGCCAAGTCCTTAAATATCAAAAACAAGATTAAAAATAGTACCAATAAAACTAAAATGACTTGGAAGATAATTGATAGTGAAACTGGAAGAGTCAGGGATCGCAATAAGACATCGAACTATGTGTCGATAACACTATAATCAAATCTAACGAAGAGATAGCGATTGTTTTTGATAAGTACTTTTCTGACATTCCAATTTTGACTACTAAGTCTTTCAATCATCTCCCGCCCTCGCCGAATCGCTGCTCAAAGATAATGTAAACGAGTGAAGGTATTTTTCATTCCGACCCATTGGTGCCGACGAAAGTGAGGATATTTAGAACCATAGATATTAAGAACACTACCGATCTTTTGGGGTATTTTGTAAAAATAATTAGTAGCATAATTGAAATTGCTCCCCATTAGTATAATTTTCAACAATTGTATTAAAAGTGGAGTTTCCCGATCTAATGAAACATAGTAAAGTTATTCCTTTATTTAAAGCAGGTAGTAGTCCGACCCCAGTAACTTTAGACCAATTTCCGTACTACCTACTTGTAGTAAAATATTTGAAAAAATTATATTAAATCAACTGGTAAGTCATTTTAACGTAAACAAATTATTACATAATAATCAGTTCGTTTACCAAGGGTCGCTCGACAGCCGATGCCGGTGTTGAGTTATATAGATAAAGTTAAGGCTTGGGAGGAGTCGATGACGTTTAGGTTGGTTATCCAAAGCATTTGATTGTGTCAAACGAGACCTTAATGGGAAACTCCGCCACTATGGCATCAAGAATACCGACTGAATCTTCTGATTCCTATTTACACGGAAGAACTCAGAAGGTTGAAGTGAATGGTAAGAGGTCCTCTGGGTCGGCAGTAGATATGGGGGTACCACAGGGCTCAATTCTTGGCCCTTTCCTCTTTCTTGTTTATAAAATGATCTACCTTTATGGTAGAGAGAAAACATCAGATAGTTTTGTTTGCTGATGACACGTCTTGATTTTTAAAATCAAACGACAAATAACAAATTTTGACGATGTGAACATGCTCTGTTTCGATTGTATTGGTTTAGTATGAATAACCTTCTACTTAATGCAAAAAGACAAAATGCATTAAATTTTGTGCAAAAATGCAAGGGTTATGGATACTAGCCAATTATAAACGGTGAGGAATTGAATCTGGATATAAACTGTATTTCTCGGAATAATGGATTCAAAACTTAGTGGTCCCCTCATATAACGGATTGGGAGAGATTGTTCTGAGCCTAGGGTTAAAAAAATTGCTCACTAACTGATGTCGAACAGTAGACTTTTTATTTTAGTTACTTTCATAGCTTAATGACTATGGTTATATATGGGGTAGGTGATGTCGAAATATTTTCATCCGAGAGAGGGCTATTCGTGCAATCTATAATTTAAAATGTAGGGAATCTCTTAGAGATAAATTCAAGGAAATTAATATACTTACCTTTCCCTCGCAATATATTTATGAAAATATTATGTATGTATACAAAAATAGTGATAAGTTTACTAGAATAGAACATACGCACAATGTTAATACACGGAACAAACGAGGCTGCAATTTCCCCGTACTAGACTATCTAAAGTTAGTAATTCTTTTTGGGAAAGGGATACTCTTCTTTAATAAAATCCCAGAGGCTCTTTTATCACTGCCTTTCAATAAATTTAAGAAATGTATTAAAGAAAAGCTGTGTAAAAAGGCTTACTATAAAGTCAACGATTATCTAGTTGATAAAAGGGCCTGGGACTAGTGCTAGACAGGCTACTTCTAATCAATTTGCGATATTTGTTTTAAATAAGTGTTGTTTGATGATTTGTGTTTTAAAAGAGTACCGAGAGTTTTTTTACGCCGGCTTTTTCTCTCGGCCTACACCCTCTGTCTTCTTTGCCGATGAGTAGGGATGCCTTCAAATTTAATGACGTGGAATAAGTGATAATGTATCTTATGTTCCATAATAAACATATTTTATTTTATTTATTTTATTTTTTATTTTGGTTTTTGTGCAACATGTATTTCATCCAAAGCAACATATTGAGCATTTGTGCCATTTTTGTCTTAAATCAGCGGTAAAGAACACTTGATCGTCCACTTTAAACTTTTTAACTGCTTCACCAACTGCACTTATAATGCCTGCCCCGTCAAATCCCAATATTCGTGGTTCTTTCTCTATTTGAGGTTTTGGAGCTCGCAGCTTCGTATCAATTGGATTAATAGCAGTAGCTTTAACTTCTATTAAAACTTCACTTTGTTTTGGAACTGGAACACTTACCTCTAAATCGATAAAGCTATTTATATCAGAAATTGGCAAGTACTTAAACAGACCAACAGCTTTCATATTTTTTGAGATATTTGCGGCCATTTTAATGAATAAGTGAGTAACAAGTTAACAATATAAAGATAATAATAATAATAGTTCAATAATATGATAACCCAGCCTGACGATAAAAAATCATCAAGTTACTTTAGGAAATACCTATACCAATTACCAACTGTTTATAATAAGTTTAATATAACCTAATACCTATTGTAAAGTATTAAAACAGAATACATTTTTAAATTTATCAAATATGTCATTTAGATTTTAGATAATGAATCGCAGTAATAACTTTAATTCTTATTCTATCATAGTTCTAAAATATGTACGGCCTTATTAAAAAGTAGATAAATGACGTATTTTTTTTGTTTGTCGGCTTCTAAGCTCTAACATTTTGAAAAGAGGAATCTGGAATACCAATTACCAGCCGGCATCAGCTATTTCACGAGGTATAGGTCATTAGTTTATAGTATTCTGTGATTTGTGAATGGTTTTATCGTCTGTATTTTCACATTTCAACCTTTTAGTGTAAAAATCAGTGTCTAAACTTTGACTTTGTAATCCATGTCCAGTGACATCTTTTCGAAGAAAATTAAAGCATTCTTTATTTAACACAGAATAACTGAAGAATTATCTAAATTCGTCAGTAGTCTTCTCTCGAAATTGTTAACATAAGTACTACAAACAATCCTGATTCTTATTTCTTGGGCTGTAAATACATACTTAAATAGGTATTTGTTGTTGTTTATACTCATTTGCAGCACTGTCAATTATTATGGAAGACAGAATTTTACTAACGGTGGACGTCACTTTAACAAAGATGGCGCTGTGCTCAATAATCAAAATTAATTACAATAATAAAATTTTAAATTACAACCATATTAATTTTAGTAATAAATATGTTTATACCTCCACCAACAATGTTTAAATTTCAGTAATATATTAAATTTGGTTGCGTATTATCCATGATACTTTAATTTATGTATATAAATTATATGTATGTATATATAATCGGATATTTCAATAATTTTGTATGATATGCAAACTGATACATTATGAGGCATGTCCTTGCGCCCGAGCAGTTAAAACTACAAAGTTTCAGTAGTAGATACTTGCTAGCTTACGTAAAAACATTATTTTTGATGATTGAGCTATTATTTTTTTATAAAATTAAGTGATGACGCTGTTTGCTTTTAAATAGATATAAACGAATATTTTATAATCATTTTTATGCATTAAGTTATTCTTAATGTAAATATAGCATATAAAAGCATTATTGGATGCATTGTGTTGGGTCAATTACATTCTCACAAGGTCCATTTCATCCGTTCGTTTCAATCACGACAATGAATATGACTTGAGGCAATCAATTTCAATATTAAGGCGATGAGTACACGACGTTTAGAACGATTCTAATTTCTTGTAATAATACAGTTATGTATATATAACCACAGTTTGTCCTTTTAACAATTTTCTATGCCTACGGAAAAATAAAAATTTAAAGAAATAGGAAATCGATGAAGATTTTAAATAAAGAAGGTAATAAATGATTTAGTTTAAAGAAAGACCGATACTCTGGTGTTAACTATTTTGGAGTATTGCGGTGAATCCTAGAAAATAGAAACATCTAAATGAGAGAAAATATTCTTGCTAAAATTTCCTGTTAGAGGAACGCTCATAATAAAAAAAGGAGCTGGAAAAAATCAAAGCATCATTTCATTGTTCCATCTACGAAGTTACAAAAAAATTATGCATATTAGCTAAATAAAACAAAAATTAAACATTAATGCCAGTGAAAAAGTCAATTGTAAAACAATCGTTTAATTTTGAGCAATTTAGGTTTTTGGTGTTTATAAACTGACAATTAAAATGTCCCGTAAACGCCTGTGTATAAACCGCCTTAAGACCTTAGCATAGAACATTTCGCAGTATGCTGAACAAGCACTAAATAGTATTTGTCAGTGTCGTGTCACAGTTGTGTTATAAACGTGTAAATAGAAAGAATTGATTATTAATTTGAATAGTAATGTGAAGAGCGGAACAATGACGACATTCGGGAGATGGACTATGTTTGAAAGTGGAATGCAAAATGTACAGGTTAGTATATTTTTATATTTCAAAAATCGAATGTCACAACTACCATTGTGTTCTAATTCTTATTTCAAATTACAGCCAGTACCATGTGTTGTAGTAGGATTTTTTCTTTAGTTTTCGTTTGTCTTAATGGGTCGAACGACTTTTAGTAATTGTTAGAGTAGCTTGATTGATATTTAAAATATGCTTATCTATTTTTTTTCTAATAATAAAACTGTTGTTGACGACAACAAACACAACGAAAATTTAAATCGCTTTTATCGATTAACTATGTTTTTTTTGGTCTCATTTATATGAACCAACCGTGGAACACCTTTTAATATTTCAGTTATGCATCTGCAATCACTTTGATACAGATTGCATCCAGATGTATACAGTTCATCAATATTTATCACCTGGTCGCTGCGAATTAAAAGCACATAAAATGTTTTTATTTACTCGTCTCTATAGTTCGATCATAAACATAAAAAACTAATAAATTTTAGTTTATAATACATCTGCCCGCAGCCTCTCGTATTCCTGTATTGGCAAGATTTTTTTCGACCATTTCAACAAAAATCGTCAAAATTTAGCATATTTATTTAAAATCATGATGTACCATATAAATCATTACGTTCAAAAACCAATTTTCAAATTACTTTTTGTTATTGTTATTGAAGCGTAATGATATTTACTCATAATGTTTACGGTTACCTGTATAGTTGTTGCGGACAGTCTTGGCCTAATGGTTTCAACGTGCGCCTCTTAACCCTGGGGTCGTTCCTTCGAATCACTGGCGAATCAATGGGCATTACTTTCTATGAGCGCTACCAAAGTAGTTTGTAGTTTTGTTATTGCTTCATTATAGAGTTGTATGGTGCGTTATTATTACCTACGTAAAAGTTAGTAAACGACTGCGTACACTTAGGTATACTAAGGAAACGAAATATGGCAACACTAACGAAACAGATACAGAGAACATACACATACAAAAAACACAATACATTCATTTGCATTGCACATGTGTGCACAATATTTAGAGGGAAGCATTACAATCTATAAAAGAGAAAATAAATAATACAATATACTAAATAAAGATTAAATATGCAATTTAAAAAAAAAAATTCTTCTTTGCAATTATTGGTGACGGAACAATGGCTGCAGCATCGTGCGATCATACACGGAGACTGTCATAATGTAATACATAAAAATATACTTGATAATGAAAATTAAATTTAGTTTCATCATGAGATACATATATCTATAGCTCCGGGTAAAAAAATTGGTAAGGCTTTTTAATAGACCAAGAGTTTGTTAATTTTATATGTGATACATACATATAATACAATTTTAATGGATGCAGATAATTAGTCAAACGCGTTGCGGCTGAATTCACTTCAAGACGAAGACGAGAAAACGTTATCTCGCTGCACTAGTTGGAGTGAGTTCGCTAGTAAAAAAATAATGGATATTTATAGAAAACGGATGCTGCGTGGCCATTTCTTTGTGAACCTAGGACCTGTTCCAAGGATGATCTTGCTGTCTTACTTGGTACTGATCTCATAATAAAAATACAGCGAACTCGCTTTGTCTTGTCTTGCCCACAAACTAAAAGGCTAAAAAGTTTCAAAACTCAGATATTTGCTCATCAATATTCAAGTACCAAATTCCAATATTAATTAGAAGGGTAGGCATGCGTAGGCGCCTCCGAGGCTGCAAAGTTAGGTGGTTCGCCCACTTTTCCTTTCCGCCACGTTCACCGTTCCAGATTACGTCATTTGCTACTGCACAATGCCTGGAGCGTAGGCGGTCAAATCTAGCTCACTATGATGCACGTTGGTCCATTCACAAATTCAACACTAGGCCACGAAATAACGTATTTAATCTATATATTTATTTACAAAAGCTTGCCAACGCTCGGCACACTGATACAGCGCAGTAACAAAGATATAAAAAAATTAAAAAAAAAACTACATATTAAATTATAAGAAGATATAAGAGAGCAGTGTTGGCTTAGTGGCTTCAGCGTGCGACTCTCATTCCTGTGGTCGTAGGTTCGATCCCCGGCTGTGCACCAATGGACTTTCTTTCTACGTGCGCATTTAACATTTGCTCGAACGGTGAAGGAAAAGAAAACATCGTGAGGAAACCGACATGTCTTAGACCCAAAAAATCGACGGCGTGTGTCTGGCACTGGAGGCTGATCACCTACTTGCCTATTAGATTTAAAAATGATCATGAAACAGATTCAGAAATCTGAGGCGAAGACCTAAAGAGGTTGTAGCGCCACTGATTTATTTATTTTATTTTTTATTAAATTATAAGAACCCGTAAAACTTAAATTATGATTATATCCATCAACGTTCCTCGGGAAAGATTTAGTGAATTAGTGCTAAGTATAACTCGCGTGTATATTTCTATTTTATTTTAGAACGATTTCTGATGTTTCTGGCTCTATGATCGTGTGTCATTGCAGAACCTGCCTTCTGAACATTTTGACATACAACTCGACTAAAACTGTAGGAAAACATAGTTATTAAATGCATTTGCATTTCCTAAGTACAACGCCAAGTGCTACAAACGTTTTATCATATTGTACTCACCTATTACTACTTTAACTAAACATCTTGGCTTTTACCTTCGACATTACCAAGTTCTTTACAAAATTCTAAAAACGACAGCTAATATCAAGTTTTAAGTTAGCGTAATGGTGTAATGGTGAAAAAAAATTAATATTTTTACTAAAAGCAAAGTTTTGTCTTTGACTTTGTTTTTGACTTTCATAGTTAATTAACTAATTTTGCAATTCGATTCTTGTCTTCATAATTTAGCCAGATAAAATTAGGGTCAGGCACACGTGTCCATTAATTATGTGAAATATAAAGACTGCCTTGGCTTCGCAAGACACAAAAGAACGTATTATTTGAAGAATACAAAAGCTTTGCAGACTCGAGAATATTTAAATTAAGAAT